TGAAGAAAGTACATTGTACACGTCTGCTGGGTGACCAAGACGTAGTAAATATACAACAAAAACGTTGCCAAAGATTTTCCTTGTCAGCGAATGGTATTTTGACATTTACAAGCAACTAATCATCAGCCGGTTTCGATCAGTTGTGGTAAGAAGGCCTGTCGAAGACTGTGCCATGGAATCCTGTCTTCTGTGATTTTTATCCATCTTGATCCAACGAATTTTTCAGCTCTTCCTGCCATCAATCTGCAGGTTGACTTCAAATGGTCTATCTTTAGCTCCAGTTTAACTTTATACTAGTGCAATGCTGATCGCCTCTTCTTGCAATATATACAACCCATCGCAACATCACTTTCTTCACCCGCGCATTTTGCTGCACTTAGCAACTAATGCATACGCACAATTTGTTTTATCATTACTGTATATCGTAAATTTGGTTGAAAATTGATGTCCGTTTGTTCAGTAATAATGAATAACAAGATATAATAAGGTACAAATAAACCCCGGTGTTATGGTTTTGCCAACAAACAGATATTTATTATATCAGTTTCAAGTTTTATAATTACATAGGTTACGCACGTCACTTCTTTTAAACCAGATATTTCGTAGCCGTTCTCTACCGGTACTGTTATGCCAATGATTATGCTTAACTGGCACCTAGACCATTGGACCATCGGTCCATATCCGAAGAACAAACGAATATGCTATCCTTACTGGAAACGTTCTTCACTAAGTTACTGAACTCAGGTTTTCAACAGTAATTTAATAAGGCATTAACGATTATTATCATCAAGCTTTAGCAAAGGGGATATGCAAAGAGTATGTTCAAGGTCAGAACAATGACCACCAGGGTCAACGGAAGGAGCTGTCCAGATTAGCAAAGGATAAGATTTCAATTTTAGAGAGTAGTTGCCTGTTGGCTGATCATCGGATGATAGGTAATGGTCAAATTAAAATTAGCTGCTAGTGGGGCTTCACAAGAAGCACATTTATTTTTTGGATCGTTGGACCACCAGATGTGCGTCTTCAAGTGTGGCTAGCGCGTACTCCGAAGCGGGGGGGGCATGACGCCAGTCATGATCACTCCACAAAGCATGTTCAGTGCGAACAATTTCGTGAAACCCTGTGGTATTTCTCTAGCCGCACTGTCAGCACATAAGGTCGCTAACGCGAAGAACGGTCTGGTGTATTCCAGAACACCACGAAGATTGCATACCACTGAGTAATTTTAGAAGAAGATGTTTTGTGGAAGGGTGTTCATACTTTAGTCCTCACAATGTACTGATGAGGAGGTACGCTTCAGTTTGGACATGTGATCACATCATGTGCTTTCCACGAACGACTCATCGAGTTGACGTTACTAAAACAAAGCTTTATGTATTGAAGAGTATCACCATTGTTTAAAATTTATATCGTTGTCGCATTTTTACATAACTTCAGGAGTACTTGATTTGCATAGAGACCACTACAGTCTACCTGGAGCAAATCTCGTTTTAGGGAAAGAGTGAGCGAAGCCAATGAGTTGAAAATTTGGGCCATCGTTCTCTGAATCCAGAGATATGGGGTTCATCCTCAAGAAATATCAATAATCAAAGAAATATCGGTTTAATTATCACTAATCTAAAGGTTTACTAGAAGTAGTTATCTATCCATGTACTTCGAGTACAACTCTGCTTAAGACTGGTCAAAAAATTGACATATGTTCGTGACCAACTTCTAGCCTGATCTCGCAGTTGTGAATATTTTCACACCA